CCCATCTCTACTAAAAATACAAATATTAGCCAGGTGTGGTGGTACATGCTTGTAGTCCCAGCTACTCAGGAGGCTGAGGCAGGAGAATCACTTGAACCCAGAAGGCGGAGGTTTTAGTGAGCCGAGATAGCGCCACTGCACTCCAGCCTGGGCAACAGAGCAAGACTCTTTCAAAAAACAAAAAAAGAATATTGTGAAGCATTTCCAAGAGAAAAACTCAGAAGACAGAGCTATGAAACAAAAGACAGTGAGTGTAACATAGCGGGGGGTTAGGAGGCGGTGCAGAGGGGGTTAGTGGGATGGGAGAAGGTAAAACTGGTATAAATCTTCAGGCATCTGATGGTTTGGCTAGTTTAACAGGGATTATACACGTGGAAAAGAATGATAAACCAAGGAAGAATTTGCAACAAAAATTTAAATCTACAAATGGAGAGAAGATATTTGTAAGACCTAGAAAAATAATCAAAATTAATTTTTATCCGGTGGTATCTTTGGTCAGTACAGAGGAAAAACTTCACACAAACCAAAATGAAACAGGAGTAACCTGGAAGGTTCTAATCCTCTGTCTGATGAAACTAACATAGGCAACAAAGAGGCAGAAAATAAAACTATGTCTCGTTCTTCAGATAAGCTCCTAATGCAATGGGGATTAGATGCATTATAACTTCAAGATCATATTTGCAAGCAGGAATAAAAGAAATGTAAAGGTAGAGATATTTTCTAGTCTACCTAGTAAAACAGAGATACCATATGCAGAGGAAGTTTAAGAGAAGCCCAGGCAAAAAATCCATAAGAATGTTATAAAAGATAGAGCAATCAATTGTAAATCAAGTTAGCTTTGAGGTCCAGAGACTCAAGTGAGGTCTTTCCTACAAACACAGAGGATATGATCTTTTAACTAGTACAACAAATAGAATGTCTGCGAGCAAGGATAGGAAGAAAACAGGCGATCATTACTCACAAAAAGTGACACACACACAGGATACCACAAGAATGCCTGTGAGAAAAAAATCCAGTAGAAAGATGTAGTAGTCTATGAAGAAAGAATATGCTTGAGGTTTGGAAGCCAAAATAAGATCCCTGTCATTACTAAAATGCAAGGGTCTAATTATTTGTCCTAATATAGCAGAGAACACATCTTTGGGGAAAGATGGGGAGAAAAGTGCTGATAATCCCTCTAGGAAAATCCAGGTAAGAAAGCAGAAGATAAAGAGGTAGTAGTATATCTGGATCTATTACATTTGAGATTTAGAATAGTCCTAGCTGGACACCTGAAAAGATTTGATTGTCCGGCATCACAGAGAAAAGCTCCATAGATAATAACAAATAAAAAAAGTTTACAGTCCTTTAGTAGATAAAGAGGAAAAACCACACCTGCGCCAACATGGAAAAGCTACAGAAGTCAGATGCAAAGAGAAAACAAAGGAAGCACGTTGGAAAATACCATTTTACTAAAAGAAGAAACTGTGCAAAAGGTGAAGCCATAACCAGAGAGAGAAGAAAGCACAGCAGAATAACATGGAGTTCTAAGAGATGTGTTTCTGAGGAAACATCTACTGAAAAATCTAAAGCAGGATAAGAACAATCACACAAAAAGGAAATAAGAACAGCAAGATATCAGACAAGATACTCAGCTAAGAAGCTGAAGAGGAGATAAAAATAATACTGTCTGGTTTGGCGACAAACATAAGTATCTCCACCATTGTATAATTTTTGCCATAAAATTAATAAAAGTGGGCTGGGTGTGGTGGCTCGTGCCTGCAATCCCAGCATTTTCAGAGGCCAAGGTGGGAGGATTTCTTGAGCCCACGAATTTGAGACCAGCCTGGGCAGCATAGTGAGACCTTGTTTCAACGAAAAAAGTTAAAAATTAGCCAGACATGGTTGTGCACTCCTGTACCCAGTGACCAGGAGGCTGAGAAGAGAAGATCACTTGAGCCTGGGAGGTTGAGGCTGCAGTGAGCTGTGATCACACCACTGCACTCCAGTGTGGGTGACAGAGAAAGATACTGTCTCAAAAAAATAAATAAATTTAAAGAGTTATGTAAATAAAAATGAATAAATAATAAAATTAGGTTCTACATGTAATTAAGTATGACAAAAGTATTGGTTTTACTTGATATTTGGTTATTTTTACAGGCAAAATTTTACAAAGGAATACCGTAACTTTTCTGGTATTACCCATGTGGAAGAAAGAATGGCCTAATTGTTTGTCATTAGCTGTTGCTGATTCATTCCTTGGTTGACAAAATACCTTTCCTTAGTCTACCAGTTATTAGCCTTTTCATCAATGCATGAAAGGAGAATGAAAAAGTAAATCATAAACTACTGAGGTCAGATATGAACTTGCCAAATATTCTATTATTGATCGGTTTAGGAAACTTACACTTTTGAAGAGATGGTTAATACTTGCTGCTCAAAATAAAACTCAACATACATCATTATTTCTCTCAAGTTGAAAACCCAAATTAATTACAATTCATAAAATTTTTAATAAAAGTCAGATCAGAATATTGTATAAATCTAGACATCATATTCATGTTATATGAGTTTCAGCTTTGAATTGTTTCCTTTATTAATTCCACTTGAGAGAAACTGTATACAAAAAGTACAACATTAAGGTACTTAGCATATTGCCTTTCAAATTGTTAACTGAGTCCATTTCCTTAATATTCCCTCTGGCCTTTACAATTGAATCTTGTTTTCCTTATAGAGTATATTTCATGCCCTTTGACATAATTGCCAATGCCATTTTCCATGGTTGAAGCACACTTACGTTTGCAGAATGTGGCAATTAATGGCCTCTTAAAACTATCATTCTATCTCAAGAAAACATTTTCCCCTTGGTTATGATATTGAACACCCATAACAAATTGCTTCTAAGCAACTGATGATTACACACACACACACACACACACACACACACACACACACTACAGTCATCCCTAGGTATCCACAGAGATTAGTTTTAGGACCCCCTGCAAAGGTCAAAATCAACTCCCTGATATAAAATCGTGTAGTATTTGCATATAACCTATGTGTATCCTCCCATATACTTTACATCTCCTCTAGATGACTTATAACACTTAATACAATATAAATGTTATATAGTTGTTATAACGTATTGTTTAATTTGCATTTTTAAAAGCTATATTTCTTAAAAATATTTTCAAAAAATTAAAAAAATATATTTTCTACCTGCAGTTGGTTGCATCTGCAGATGCAGAACCCAGAGATACAGGAGAGCCAACTGTATATATACAATATACATATTTACATATCTAACACCTAAATTTAGAAAATCAATCATGTTTTTTTGCATTCCAGATGGATTACAATATGCAAGACCATTATTCCCCTACTCAAGAGAAGTCAGTGAAAATAAAATGTGCTTAAAATGTTTTAGTATTCGAATTACTTTGTAACTGAAAACCAGGAGCAAAAGTTCACTTAGTACTGGAAAACACTGCACACCCAGGTGGGTTAAGATATATATGCCACAGGCTGGGCATGGTGGCTCACGTCTATAATCCCAGAACTTTGGGAGGACAAGGCAGGCAGATCACTTGAGCCCAGGAGAATGAGACTAACCTGGGCAACATGGCAAAACCCCATCTCTACAAAAAAATACAAAAATTAGCTGGGTGTGGTGGTGTGTACCTATAGTCCCAGCCACGCGGGAGGCTGAGGCAAGAGGATCCCTTGAGCCCAGAAGGTCAAGGCTGCAGTGAGTGGTGATCATGCCACTGCACTTCAGCCTGGGCAACAAAGTGAGCTCTTTTCTCAAAAAAAAAAAAAAAAATATATATATATGTGTGTGTGTGTGTGTGTGTGTGTATACCATAAAATTAGTGTTCCATATTAATTCCATTAATATTTCATGCCATAAGTTAATAGTATATTATTCTACATATAGTTAAAGAACACAATGTTCTATCCTCCACTTTTACTATGGAATATTAAAAAGAAGTAAAATCATTTCTTTGTGAGTTTTTTTTTTTTAGGCAACAGGATAACCATTTTCTATATTAATAAACACATGCAATGATATATAATAGGTTCTGTCTATATAATAAATAATTTCCAAGTGAAATCTATAAAGCTTAACACCCAGATACTGCCCTTACTGCTTTAAAAATGTTTCTATCCAGGCAATCCAGCGTTATGAACACACAGGTTGTGTGTGTGTTAATATGGTCTGTTATATGTGTATGTATTCCCATGAGGCATGTTCATTTATCATTAATAAAATACTGTTTTAAAAAATTTTTTCCACAAAATTATGCCTGAACAAAATTGTCCTTGGTAAATCAATGGATTGCAAGGAAAAAAACCCCACAGTAGAGTCAAACTCATTTCTATTGAACTGAGGGATGTGACTAAAAGCTTGTGGGTTGGGCAGGTAAAAAACAGGTGAAAACTTGTCATTTTAAAATTCAGTAGAACCTCATTGTGTGATTGGTATCAAGTGTAATTACCACTTTATAGACATTCTAGATTTTAGGGAGAGAAATGTTCCATAGTTGATAAAAGAGAAATATACTTGATCCATATTGTAAGTATTTTTCATAGGATTTTGTTGAATTTCTTTAAGATGTTATGATAACAACATACAGACTGCTTCATATACTGGCACAGGTATTATTTGGATATCTAGGTTGATGTTGCAGATACAGGTAACATTTGTGAAATGTGTAAAACAGTAACTTCAAAGAATAAATTATTTTTTAAAATACGGCAACTTTCCAGTTTGAATGGTAAGTAGTATTGATAGCCACCTATAACAAAAATATACAGTATTTGAGTAATATTAATATGTGATTATCTATATAATGTAATTAAATTTTGTACCATTCTCAACTGATATAGCCTCAACTCCTGATACTTTTGTCAATTCACAGCTCAAATTGCTTTAAATGACAAATAGACATATTTCATATTTTGATACACTACCATATAGCCATGCGTCTGATAAAATTTGCACAGAGAAAAGATGTTAATGTTTTGCTATGTTTTAATACACTTCAAATGATTTTTCTTTAGTCACAAGGTCATTAGTTTTTAGAAGTTTAAAGTAAATCATCCTCTTTTATTACAATTCAGACATTTAAAAATTTCTCAGAACTGTCAGACTTTTTCAACCAGCCTTTAAAAGTTTAATCAAATAATTTTCTTCTAATACAAGTCAGATATTTTAAAATTTTTCAGGAGTGGCAGACTTCTTCAATCAGAAGAACAATGTTCTAAAAACATGTATGAGATCCATGTGTGTAATCATTCTTGATATAACAACATTCACCTTTTCCCAAGCAGAGAAACTTTTTGTATTTCCTTCTCCTTTCAGGAGAATGACAAACTGTATTAACACTATTATAAACAATGTGTATATAGTACATAGACAATATGCATATGTACATTACACACAATGTATTAAAATATGTTATATTATCTTTTACTTTTAAAGGGCGTGTCACAGAACAGGAAACTGATACAATGACACTTGTTTCTTAAAAGAAGCTGACTGAATCCTTCTGTAGCACATTACCGCACAATTAATGGCTTTAAACAAAAGTTACAAGTCACAAGTTCTTATGTTTTGGATCATGTTGTGCAATGTATTCCAAATGAAAAATGGAGGAGAAAGTGCACATCATACGCTTCATGGTATGGCATATACATGTCAATTATTTTTACATATAATTATGTGATGAATGATACAATTAAGAGCTATACTACATAATGCATACAGTTATTATAAAAAGTTATATATTATGCCACAGTACTAAAAATAAAATATATTCTTCTCAAATAGTGAAAATAAGATATCCTTCAATGTTTGTAGGTCACATATGCTTCCTCGTTTGACCATACCTCTGTTTTTCTTTTTTAATGAAATAATTTCATGAATTATTAAACAATAATGACAGAGTATGGGCAATTTCCTGACCATTAATGGCCTACAAAAAGTGATAAGACGATTACCTTGTCATGAATTTGCTGAAATACCCTCCTGTTGCGTTCAATGCATGGTAAAAATATTAGAATAAAAGACAAATAAATATAAATACCTTCTCAGTTATTGAACAATCAAAAGTCCAGTCGAATGGATACACATGGTTGCTGTGCCCTGAGTAGGTACAGCAACTAACCTTGTATCACAGGTGTCCCCCACAGCCCACTCCCCGCACTCCACCTAATTGTGAAACACCAGCTGTGACTATTTGCTCGATCAAGAAGACACTGAGGGATTTTTTGGGGGTCTGCCGCACAAAAGCGATTCCACCATACCTAAGTGGCGCTCTCCCACACCCACGTGCAGCAGTCCCCGGTCGCGGCTGGTCCTCAACAGCTCCTCGCCCTCTGCCCACCCTGGGAGACCGTGACCTGTCCAGGTGGCAGGTAGGGAAAGGAGAGGAACTGCACTCCTTTCTCCTCAGCCCTAAAGAAGACCGCCCTTCTCTCGACGCACCAAAGGGCTCACATGTTCTCTTTGACTGGGGAAGCAGGCACTTAACGAGTGAACCACAATACGAGGCAAGGCAGAGGGCGGGTACGTCCTTCGAAGGTGCGCTCGAGGGTCGCCTGCTGCAGCCGCACCCGCCACACGTGCCCCACGTTTCTTTGAACGGAATGAAACGCAGAGAAACATAAGATCCCGGGAGAACGCGAGGGAGACGAGTGACCCCAACCCGGTTGCGGGATGCCAGGCAGTTAGGCCAGGGTGCCAGATAAGGTCTGAGGCAGTTGGCAGCGGCACCCCGGCCGTTGCGTGCCACCCGTAGCCCCCAGCCCTGCACCAGCCGCCGATCCCCGAGCGCTCAGATAAGGGGGAAGCGGCCCTCGCCGCCGTCGGGCTCCGCGGCGACCCCGCCTCGCGGGCGGCCGAGCACTGACACTGGCAGCACGACCTCCCCGGGGCTGAGCTGCTGAAGCCGCATGGACTCCTCGTAGGTGGGCAGATACTTGACCTCCTCGTAGCTGGGCAGCTGCAGGAAGACCGGCGACACTACACGCAGCTCGTGCTCTGAGGCGCAGGAGGGGTCCAAGCGCCCGCCGCCTCCCCGGCCTCGGCCGCCGCCGCCACTGTCCAGCAGTGAGTCTTGCGAGCCGGCTGCTGCCTCGTCGCGTAGCAGAGCGGGCGAGTCGTCGTCGTCGTCGGGCGGCCCCGCGCCCCCCAGCGGTCCGGCGCCCCCAGGAGGCCCGGGCCGCTGTCCTGGGCGCGCCTGGCCTCGCGGGTACCTGCGTGGACTGGGGCAGATGATGCGCTGCAGGAAATAGCCGATGGCGAAGAGCACCAGCAGGATGAGCAGCCCGGAGAGCTTGCGAACGAACCAGCCCACGTTGTCCAGGAAGGCGTGCAGCGGTAGCTTGCAGCAGCGTACCGCCGTGGCGTTGGTCGCGTCGCAGCAGCGCTCCCGCTCGCCGCACGCCAGCTCCGCGCAGCCCCCGCCACCCCGCGAGGGCGCCACCAGCGCCAGCGCCAGCAGTAGCAGCAGCGGCAGCAGAGGCGGCGGCGCTGGAGCCACCGACAGGCCCTCGGCCGTGACCCCAGGTCCCCACATGGCCCGCGCAGACCTCGGCTAACGTCCGGGACGGGAGGCTGGGGAGTCCGTCCGCCCGCGCGTCCTTCGGCCCCTCCCCGGCGCTCCTCTCTGGTCCCGCGCGCGCCGCCTCCCGCGCCTCAGCTACCTGCGGCCGGAGCAGTCCTCACTTGGCCACGCTTGGGCGGGAGGAGGAGCCCGCGGCGCGCCTAGGCTGCGGGAGGCGGCTGCTACTCGCGGCCCAAGCAGCTGCCCGAGCTTCTGATCTTAACCTCGCGCGCCCAACCACCCGGGCCGGGTGCAAGGGGTCCGGAGCCTCCCTAAATGGCAGAGGCAGCGCGCGCGGGGCTGCCGTGGGCATCTTGGCCCCGGCCGTCCGCGTTTTTCCTCCCCCGTCTTGTCGCTCTCTGGGACTAGAAGGGTTAACGCTCTGCTCTCAGCCCGGGAGCCCCTTGATCTTGATTAATTCAGCCTTCCCGCCTAGGCCCGCCAGACGGGCGGGGGCTCTCGCTCGCGTAGGTGTCTCCGTTTTAAGTGATTGGATTTCCCCAGGAATGTTATTTAAATTGACTTGCGACTGGGATTCGCTTACCATCTTTCTTGTGATCTTCCAATTAAAAATAGATGATGACCATTAATGGCCAGTCAGTCCCCTCTGCTGTCCCAGAGTTTGGGGATGGGGGGCGGGGACCGGCGGATAATTCTGCTTGCAGGCAGGTCCAGGGAACTGAGAACTCGCGATTCCCAGGAAACCTCCAGAACAGGTAGAGAATTTCTCATAGAGGGGCAGGTCAGGGCACCACAGAGGTAGCCCCAGAGGGACAGGGAAGCACTCTGTCAAGGTGACCTTAGTTAATCAAGGAGAAATGAGGGAAGCGTATTTTCCCAGTGGCTCATCCGACAAGCCCCACTGAGTCCGAAGCACAGAGCAAAGATTTGGGTTGCGGGGATGAAAGGAGGCCCCCCCCTTGAGCATAAATAACATATCCGTGAAATATCTAAGGAGGTTGCAAGTGATTGGCAACGTTCTTGAGCATTGATTTGCGCCCAAAGGGTCTTTTTCAAGATTATTATTGTTCGCAAAGTTTGACTTTAAAGGAAGTTTGTGCTCCCACTTAACATGGAACAGCGTTTACCTTGCCTTGGTGTCACCATTCTCTGGGGAAGCCCGTTAGCGCACACAGCACACATAAGGGGTGGCAGTTTCCGAGGTCCCTGACTGGCAGGCACATGTACATGGTGCAGTTAGGCTCTACCCCCATGGTGGATAGAGCCACACCACGGGGAAGCCAGGAGATTGCCACTTTTATTAAGGCAGACTGCAGTAGACAATCATTCCCTCACCCCTTAAACACGAGGACCCCTTCAAGAGAAACCAAAGGGAAAATTTCATAGTCACGGAGAGAAAAAAAAAAGTAAAAGCAAAGGAACAATACACAGACAAGATTCAACCGTGGATCAGATAAAAGCAAAGATTTCTCCCTGAGTAAGTCATCGTGTATCTCTGTAACAAAGTGATGATGGAACAAGAAGGTTGGCAATGGTGGTTTGATTGAGACAGGTCATCTCTCAGCCTAAATGAAACATTTTAAATATATGTGCTGCTGTGAACACCTTTCTTTGCCTCACACTCCAAAATGATCCTTTCTACTCAAGAGAAGCTTCTAAATGTTAGACAAGGTATAATACATAAAACTTGCTTGAGCACAGGTCCCTTTTTTGCAAGCTCTTCAAAAGCCATATTTCTCTGTTATGATCTCTTTGTAGGGAGGCATATTACCTATTTTGCAAAGGCATATTACCTATTTTGCAAAGGCATATTACCTATTTTGCAGTGGATTTCAAATTGTAAAATAATGGGATGAAAATGATTCATTTTAATACAGCGATTTATTTTATTTTATTTTATTTTATTTTTTTAGAGTCTTACTCTGTCACTTGGGCTTGAGTGCGGTGGCACAGTCTCGGCTCACTGCAACCTCTGCCTCCTGGGTTCAAGCGATTCTCCTGCCTCAGCCTCCTGAGCATCTGGGATTACAGGCGTGCACCACCATACCCGGCAACTTTTTGTATTTTCATTAGAGACAGATTTTCGCTATATTGGCCAGGCTGGTTTTGAACTCCTGACCTCAAGTGATCCATTTGCTTCGGCCTCCTAAAGTGCTGGGAATACAGGCGTTAGTCACCACACCTGGCCAGAAAATTGTATTCTTTCATTCACCCATTCTTTTGCTAAATTTACACTGAACATTTTCTATGTTTAGGGAACTCTGCTAGATGCTCGTTGTAACAGAAAAATACTGACTCCTCCCCAGCGTGGAGTAAACCCAGGTCTGCACTCCCAGCTTCAACTAAATGGAGTAAAGGAGAGATGGCACAGAAGGCAACAAATGACAGTTTCCTCTTCTTTCATGACTTGTTCTTACTCTCCCAAAGGAAAAATAAAATTAATGAATTTCAAACAATTTCAGGAATGAAGGCAGTTCATAGCTTGAGATGGGCTTTGAATATGAAATGGAAAAAATATAAACCCTCTTTGGGTTTTGATTATCTGAGTTTTTGGGATTTCTACCAGTAGTAGCAAGAGCAGTGGCAAAAGTAAAGGGGGTTATACGGCTGATGATACATTAGAGAAAGTCCCCTGCTTATTATTATTTTGAAATTACTAAGGAACATTTAAATGGTTTCATTTCTAGCTACCTTTCAATAGTTAGAATTTGCAGAATATTAGGTAGGACATAGTAGAAGAACAACATAGATTGTACATAGCATCATCCATTAAAGACCCTCTATAGAAACTGGCACCTCTTTATTTCTTCTCTGATCTCTCAGTTTCACTTAATTCATTTCTATTTGCAATGTAACTTATTGTGTACAATCTTTCAAAGGAAAGAATAGAAACCTTATAACTTTAAAAGCCCCAGGAAAGACACAATCTTCATTACTCAGCATCCTTATTATTTTCTTCAGATTCAACACACAAATAAATGGGGTAGATTAAGCTGCCCGAAAGTCAAATTCAAGCCACTTAGTGAGGAAGACAGAATTTAATGGTATGTTTCATAGAATGACCACAGTGCAAAAATTAAAACCTCATTTTGTTAAAAAAAGTTGCACAAAATGTGTTAAGTGAGAACAAGAGAGAGCGAGAGGAAAAAACCCAATACGTGGTGGGAGGAGACTCACCTTTTTCCAAAAAGCATGGTCTTGATAAAGATTAAGAACTTAAACTTCGTTACCATACTGTAGAGCTTGAATGATAGTTTTTGAACATTTTCTTTTCCTGATTTATTTGCATTCACACCAAAGAATGCCAAATTAGCCATACTTTTCAACTTTCTAGAACAGAAGAGGGTAAACAGAGCACCGCAAAACTGGCTGCTATTTTACCTGTGTCTCTGGGAGCTGTCTTGATAGTTTGAGAAAGACTTAGTGGCTCCATCATGCAGCCTTCTGTTCTAACACATGACACAGGCCCAGAAGGAAGTTTTTCTCTGATGTCCGCTGACTGTGGTTTGTGTCTTCAAGTCTGAGAAGTGATGGCTCTGCCCTTTTCATGTCCCTTCTTTGAAACGTCTAGGCGTGGGTAGTTGGGACTTTGTAAACTGTCTAGTCCTTAAGGATTCCTTATTCAGGATGTGCAATACCTGAATACTACCTTAGTACTAAATTATTATAATTGATTTATTAACTTCCTCATTGTATGATTTCCCTCCACTTGCACATGTGTTCCCTGAGCAACAGTAAATTAAGAGTTTTATTGTAAATAGCATATGTTTGCATGAATATACCTACCTAGAAATGATGTAAGATCTGAGATAATCTGCTTTGGAGCTCTTTCCAGATCGTATTTCTTTCATCACTTATTCAATGAATATTTAACGAGGGCCCACTTTGAGCTAGGCATTCTGCTCCACTTTGAGGATACTATGAAATCAAACCGTTCTTTGTCCTCAGGGAGCTTATTAGGGGAGGGGGAAAAGAGCAACAGTCAAACAGTCAAAATAATGAACTGATCATTCCAATGATCAATGCACACACTGGAGGAGTGCAGGATGCTCTGAGTTTTTGCACTGGACATGATCTGGATTGGGTTAGGGCAGTGGTGTTGGCTGGAAAGACGTCCCTAAGAAAGACCTCCTTAAAATGGATAACAAGGGGAAGCAGAAAGGGGTCCTCTGGGCAGAGAAATCTTGATGGACATGAGTCTTTGAAGTAAGAAGACACTTCACATGTCATCTCTTATGATTGAGGCAAAACTTGTATAATTTCTATCCCAACAATTTTGACTCTGCTCCTAGATTAGCTTTATGAAGAGTCAAGCTGCCTCTGCTGCCATCCAACTTTAAACTGAACCTGATTCTCTGCAGTGGTCTAACAGGCTGTGTGGTTGTACTTATCTGTGTATTTAGTCCTGCCCGGTTTCCCCTTGGAGACCAGGAAAATTTCTTGTTCTTTCCACCTCCACATCCCTGACTCGGAGTGGAGTTCAGATTTCCCCTTTCAACTTTATGAGCTGGTAGCTGGCTGACAAAAGGCTTCTGCAAGTCAAATGCTTGAAGTAGGAGAAAAGTCCACGTGGAATGCTTTGTATCTTTTGTCCAAATTAGGAGCAAAAGGAAATAGCTTTCTCGCAAGCTTGAAGTTAGAAACAAAAGGTTGAGTAATTCCAGGCCTTTATAAAAATAATATCTACGTTTATATTTGGACTTTTAGCTTTTCAGAGAACTTCCACATGCATTGTTTGTTTTTATTCCGCCTTACTACATTTCTGTGAGATGGGTTGAAGTTATTATTATCCCTTTTTACCAATTAAGTTAGGTTAAAACAGCAAAATCAAAGGGCAAATTAGTGGTGGTGCTAACACTGGAATCCAAGGCTTATTACTCCAAATCTAGTTAAAAACAGTGGGCTGGCATCTTACTCCCTTCCTGATTTCAGCTGGACAGTCCAAAGGGATCACTGTGGCAGGAGTCACCTGATTTCCCTTTGACAACTCCTGATGCATCATGAGGCTAATTCTAAGGAAAATAACTGGGAGTTAACCTGGACTGTATTCTGGACCACAAATACAAAATTCTTCTGAGGAAATAAAACTTTTATTTCTGCCATTTTGTGGCCACTTTTGGTAAACTGTTAATAATGGTCTAGGTGATAATGTGACAGGCCAGCTATTTTTGTATGCATTTCTGCAAACAAAAAATAAATTTCTCTCCTTCATTACATTTGATCTTTACCCATGAACGGTATTATCTAATGCTCATCAATATAAAATAAGAAATGCTTGGCAAAATAAGGACATGTTGAGTTCTAAAACACAAATATGCAGTATTATTTGTCAATAATTTAAACTTCTATATTTAAATTCTTGCTTTATAACAATTGTCAGTTAATTTCTTGTGGCAACCTTGTAGAAGAGATTGATAACTTTCACATTATTGCTGATGACATAAAAACTAAACCATCAA